GCGACTATTTGCATGCATGCTGCATGCATGCATGCATGCATGCAGCATTTATTATAGGTTTTGCCGAATTCTTTTTATTATTTTTGTTTTTTTTGACTTCTATGCGGACTCTTTTTATTATTTACAGGCTTAGACTCCCTTCACCAATATTCTTACAGGGCCGTGGCCTCCGCCCTCGAAGTCATTCCAAGAACACTTGCCCAAAACTGCGGCGCAAACGTTGGTATGCTTCCCCACAACAAATGAGTGCATACATGCACGCATGCACGCATGCATGCATGCATGCATGCATGCATGCATGCGTGTACATGCATGCATGCATGCATGCGTGCATGCGTTTGCATGCATGCATGCATAGAGAGGCGTTCAGGCTTTTTCAGTGAAAGACAAGACAGTTGAATCCAGAACTCTTCATTTGCATGCACGTGGCTGCATGCTTGTGGCTGCATGCATGCATGCATGCATGCATGCATGCATGCATGCATGCATGCATGCATGCATGCGCGGAGGCTGGGTGTTGGGGCTTTGGGCGTTTGCAGTGAAGGTGATGACGGACTTGCGGGCGAGCCACAGCCGGCTGGACAGCCCCGAAGCTGCATGCATTGGAGTGGATGGCGAAACTGGCGAAGTTTGCGATATGAGCAAAAAGATGGTTTGGGACTGTTTGTCCGTCAAAGAACAAGTCTTCAAGTCCGCCATCGAAGCGGTGGGGCCCCACACTCACCCCCAAAAAGCCCGCATGCATGCATGCATGCATGCATGCATGCATGCATGCATGCATGCATCGCTGCGTGCATGCACGCCTGCACGCATGCGTGAGAAGGCCCTGCATGCGGGGGAGCCTCAATGCATGCATGCATGCATGCATGCATGCATGCGTGGAACGATGCTTGTCGAGTCAAAAGAATGTCCAGTTAGTTTTCGTTTCAAGTCCTTTTTAAATCGATCCTTAGCCTGGAATGCAACCTGCTGCTGCTGCTGCTGCTGCTGCTGCTGCATGCAGGCTGCGGTGCTGCTGCGCATCGACGATGTGCTCTCGGGGGTTAGAAAAGATGGGAAAGGGGGGGCCCCAGGAGAAGACGGGGCCCCTGAAGACATGGAGACCTTTGGGGATGCTCGTGACGGGTAAGCTGCGAAAGCAGCAGCAGCAGCTGCTGCTGCTGTTGCAGCAGCAGCAGCAGCAGCAGCAGCAGCAGCGGAAGGAACAGCAGCTGCTGCAGGAGCGGCAGGAAGAGCTGCAGCAGAAGCTGCAGCAGCTGCTGCAGCGGCAGCGGCAGGGAGGGCTGCAGCAGCTGCTGCAGCGGCAGCGGCCTAAGATACTGCAGCAGCTGCAGCAGCAGCAGCAGCAGCAGCAGCAGATGCTGCAGCAGCGCTGCAGGGCATTTGCCACTTGTCCTTTACCCTGTTCATGCGCCGATGGCAGAAAGTGAAGACATTCTTTCTGCCCCCGCAGCAAACAAAAACCGAAAATTAATCCATTTTGACTTTGCCCAGCCCCACTCCCTTCTATTGAATGCATGCATGCATGCATGCATGCATGCATACATGCATGCATTCAATAGAGTGCATGCATGCATGCAAGCGCATCAGCAGCCGTTTGCATGCATGCATGCATGCATGCAAGCGGCTGCTGCTGCATGCGTTCTTTCCTACTTGGGTGCCGCTGCCTGGCGCTAGCGCTGGCATGCATGCATGCATGCATGCATGCAGACTTGCATGCATGCATGCAGACTTGCATGCATGCATGCATGCACGCATGCAAGCACCTCTAGGCGTCTAAATAGGGGGCTTTGAGTTTGTACTTGGTAGTCTGAGTCTAATTAATTAGTGACAAAGAGCAAATAATTCAAAAATAAATAAATAAATTACTAAATGAGTACACAAATAAAGAAATGACTTAGTTGCAGAAATAGACAATAAGTGACAAAGACAAAAGAGCTGCAGCAGGCGCAGCCAGAAGCCCCAGAGATAAACAGCCCCATTGAGGTGTATCTTCAGTTCTTCAGTTTGCTGCTGCCTGCAGTGTCTAGACACCTGCAGCAAAAGCTGCTGCTGATGCTGCTGTTGCTGCTGCTGCAGCTGCTGTTGCTGCTGCAGCTGCTGTTGCTGCTGCAGCTGCTGTTGCTGCTGCAGCTACTGCTGCTGCTGCGCCCGCTGGGCGCAGCCGGGAACCTGCGCGTGTCGCTAGCCTGCCTGTTCCCCGCTGCCGTTGCTGCTGCTGCTGCCGCTGCTGCTGCCGCTGCTGCTGCTGCTGCTGCCGCTGCTGCTGCTGCTGCTGCTATGATAAAGAAGGCGCAGCAGCGAGCAGCATGGAAATGTCCTCTGCAGATATTTCGTCGAGGCAGCTGGAAGGATTTAAATGCAACTTTTGAATTGCAAAGTTATAAACGGCTCCACTCAAAACTGACAAACCTTTCGACAGCGGGTGCACAAACTCCTCACCACTGCTGCTGCTGCTGCTGCTGCTGCTGCTGCTGCTGCTGCTGCTGCTGCTGGGATCTGCTGCTTCCTCTTCTTCATGCCCCACGAAAGCAATGTGGGGGAGATACTGAGACGCAACAGTCAGCACAGGCGATGCTGCTGCTGCTGCTGCTGCTGCTGCTGCTGCTGCAGCTGCAAGCACCTAAACCCTAAACCTTAAACCCTATCCCCTGAACCCTAAAAAACCCTACGCCGAAACCCTAGACCCCAAACCCTAAACCCTAAACCCTAAACCCTAAACCCTAGGCCCTCTTGCTCACTAAGAAGCCAAAATAAACCCCATCATGTCCGTATTTGTCTAGAAGGTCCCTGACGGGCATGTTGAAGGGCAGCCTCTCCAGCAGCACTTCTTGAGGGTTTTGAATGGCTGCGTCTTTTTCATTTTCATTTTCTTTTTCTTCTTCTTTTTCCATTTCTTCTCCAGCTTCTCCACTTTCTTTTTCCCCTCCATCATCCCCTTTTCTTGCTGCTGCTGCTCCCCCTTTTGTCCCCTTTTTTCTTGCTTCTTTTTCCAATTTTCTCTCCTTTTCTGTACCCTTTTCGGTCTTTGCTGCTGCTCGGGGGGCCCCCCCCCATTCCCCCAGGGGGCCCCCCGCCTTCCCCAGCCTCAAGACGGGGCTTTTGTCGTTTTCGGCAAATTCCGAAATGACATAAAGTCCCAAAGCTTGCTCCGTGAGACCCACGGGGAGAGATATAGTTGCTGCTGCTGCTGCTGCTGCTGCTGCTGCTGCTGCTGCTGCTGCTGGCGGTGCTGCTGCTGCCTCTGCTGCTGTCGCGCCAGCTGTGGGTGTTGGGAGGGCCGTCGCCGCTGCTGCAGCTTCGGCTGGGGGTGGTTCTGGCGCTGCTGCTGCTGCTGCTTCTGTTTCTGTAGCGGGAGGCTCTGCTGCTGCTACTGCAGCTGCCGTTGCAGCTGGAGATTGTGCTGCTGCTGCTGCTGCTGCTGCTTCTCTCCCTGTAGCGGGAGGCTCTGCTGCTGCTGCTGCAGCTGCTGTTGCAGCTGGAGATTCTGCTGCTGCTGCTGCTGCTGCTGCGGCTTCTGTTTCTGTAGCGGGAGGCTCTGCTGCTGCTGCTGCAGCTGGCGGCTCTGCTGCTGCTGCTGCAGCTGGCGGCTCTGCTGCTGCTGCTGCTGCTGCTGCTGGTGCTTCTGCTTCATCTGACGCTGCAGCGGGCGGTGCGGGCTCAGCAGCAGGCGCCTCATCCTCCCCTGCCGGTGCTGCTCCCTGCTCCCTCGCCGCCGCAGCAGCAGCACCAGCAGCAGCAGCAGCAGCAGCAGCAGCAGCAGGCAGCAAGCCAGCAGCTCTAAAGGCCTCCAGCAGCACACCCAGCAGCCGCCCCACAGTTGTCTCCGGGGGAATGTTTTGCACAACAAGGGCCCCCCGCGAGGGCCCCGGCCATTCGCAGTCTTTGCCTGTGGGGTTGGGGAGGCCCAGGTTTAGCCGCAGCTGAGGGCCACGCAGCCACAAACCCTAAACCCTAAACCCTAAACCCTAAACCCTAAACCCTAGCTTCCCTAAACCCTAGCTTCTCCTCTGCAGCAAGGCAGGCAAGCGGGACAAAACGCCGCGCTGACTGCCCAGGGAATAACCCCTCTCACAAGCCCTTACCCGCACGCCCTTAGAAAGACCCCAAACCCTAAACGCTAAACCCCAAACCCTAAACCCTAAACCCTAAACCCTAGACCCCAGATGAAGACTAGGGCTGCGGGCCTGTCGGGGGACTCACGGAAATGCTGGCTGAGGCCATGCTGTGGGGACTTTGTCTTCTGGAAAGGAGACAGTGTTGTCTGATGGCTTTGGAAGTTCTTTTTCGGGCTTTGTTGTCTCTAGGGTTTTCGGAGAAGCGGGGCCCCTTGAGAGCAGCAGCAGCAGCAGCAGCAGCAGCAGCAGCAGGGGGGGCCTCGACAAGGACCACAAAGTGGGCCCCCCTGGAGGCATTGAGTCTTTCGACAGCATCCCGCATGGGCAGCGAGGGGGGGAGGGGCCTCAAGGTGACCTCGGGGTCCTCGGGGGGCCCCCGGGGGGGCCCCCCCCAGGGGCCCCTGGGGGGGCCCCCCAAGGGCGAACCCGCCGCGGGGGCCCCTGGCTCCGCTATGGACAGCGCAAACAGCTGCAGCAGCTGCTGCTGCGCCTCCAGCCGGGCCCTGCAGTGGGGGGCCAACAGCCCCTGCAAGAACTGGGCCACAGGCAGCCGGGCCCTCGTGTTTGTAACAGTTTGTTGTTTGCGAGAAAAAGGGGCTTTATAGACTTCTATGGGCAGCAGCACCACTTGCGCTGCCAGCCGCTGCTGCAGCCACGCGGCCACCTGCGCGGTGTACCCGGGGCCCCCGGGGGCCCCCCCGGGGGCCCCCCCCAGCTCGGGGTCTCCCCAGAACAAGTCGGCCCCGGGGGCCCCCAGCTGGGGGCCCCCCGACGCCAGGGCCCCGGGCTCGGGGGCCCCGGAGGGGGGGCCCCCCGCGCCGGGGGAGGGGCCCCCGGGGGGGCCCCCCTCCCCGGGGGCCCCCCCCTCCCCGGGGGCCCCGG